CCCGCCGTCGCTCCTTCGCCACGCATCCTCGACCTCTTCGCATCGCTGAGGCATCGATACCGTCTCCGCAATGCGACAGATATACCGTTAGGCCTACGCTTTCGGGACGGTATCCTGTGCGCGCGCATCTACTCATGCTCGCCTTCACCACTTCTCACTGACACCATTCAACAGGCACTACCACCAACACTTTTTGATGGGAGATCCTACTCGTCAAGGATCAGGTATGTTGTGATTCCAAATCAGCAGTAGATTGAGCTCACGTTCTCCCAGGGATGTCGAGCTTCTGCGTGTGGGGCGACGCGACGCGTCGGCACGGCGTTCGTGCCCGTAGGGAGCGTGTATGGTGTCGGTCCTCGGGTTCTCGTACACATAGCTGTTTTACCTATGATGTCTACTTGTATCTTACACGCCAGTTTATGAATATATTTCTTTCTAGCCACTGTCGCAGTGAATAATTGCCTAATTCGGAAAATAATATTTATATGATTAATGGTTATCGTGGGCAGGCTTCATCGACGTGCATTTGAAACTGCTTCTGGTATTTGAACGTGCTGAGGGTGTTACAAGGTTCACGGGACCTTGTAGGAGCTTTAAAGGTTAGCGAGACCTTCAAACGAATGTCAATGTTGACCTTGCGGGTGTAAGGTAGTTAAAGGTCCCCCGAAAATTGGTGTCGTTGGAGTCCTTTACATGCGTGTCCATGTCTTACAAGCCTGGCTGGGTTTTCCCGACGCCCCTTCTCTAGTCGGTATCGCCATAGTGCACCCATGGACAAGAGCAGACAGCACATTGCTACCTCACACCTCACTGCTCTATCTATTTAATACTGTACACGCAAGACCAATCTCGCAACGCTCCGGAGCAATTGCACGCAGAAGGATGAAACGAGATTGGGCTCGGGTTAGGGTTACCGCCGTTTTGGCAATCGTCATATTCGTCTGATTTTTGCGTCCTGTCTGGTGCACTACGGGGACCTCCACTCCCGTAAATCATTGCAAGATACAGCTATAGCTGACCCTCGCGTGCTGGCCCAAATAAGGGTACGGGACGAGTGCGGTCACGTCATGTAAACCATCACAATTCCTCAGTGTGGTTGCGACGACGTAGGCGTCGGCGCACATGCTATGCAACTCGCTGTAGAGACGTGTCCCGGGTTGATGGGCTCGAAGTGAAGATTCCATTACGGCTGTCGTATGCATGATCCGCTAGGGTGTACAGGGGGTATATTGACATTCAACGCGAGTCGTCACGGACATTATGGTCATCACCGCTAAGCTAACAAGACTGGCACATCCCGGGAAACCTGAACCGCTGAAGCATAATAGCAATAATCAAATCAAAGCAACCTCAAGGTCAATGCGATGCCGACCCAGAGCATCGCCAAAGCGCCCATATGGGGTGTCACCATTCCGGGGCACGAGGATCCTGAGACTAATGGGACAGCGGCTCCAATTGTATCGTTTAGGCAGGAGAGTAGCACCGTATCCAGACCCGTCGTTGGCAGAGGCGTGTTCGCAGCATTGCTATCGTTGCTGAGGGCGCCGGTGTTGTTGTATCCGTCGAGAGTGAGCGCTACACTGCTCGCGCGATAGTACTGAATTGCACTTTCCGGTTGAGGGTCGCTGCTGCTGTTGCCTGAGTACGAAGAAGGTGACGTCGACGAATTGGAGGCAAGATCGAACTGCGTGCAGTTATCCGTCACGGAGGAAATGAGCGATACAACGGTTGCATTGTCAGCGAGCACATGGAATGTGCTACCGGTGGTGTTTGAGATGAAGGCAGCCTGCATCATGGGCCCACCAGGCCGGGAGCTGTTGTTCGGTTCGCCATACTGGTGACATGTCAGTCTAGCCCCCGTATAACCGACGGCAGTAGTCACGTACTTCATGCGAATCGTGTAAGTACGCCGCAGTCCCAATACCAGCGCCGCCGAATATTACGGGCCAGTACAAGAATGGGAAGCCAAGGCCGGCAACACCACGTTGGCTAGCTGCTGCACCGGGATAGCCGCTGCCGTAGACGCTAGTGAAGTATCAGTCAGCACTGCCTTCGGATAGGCATCGGGATCGCGCTCACTTCGTGCCGTATACCTGTGTCCGTGAAGCGCCGCCTGCATTCCGGCCTGCAAACAGAGCACCAGCAGGAATTGTGAATGCGGCTACCCCTCCGACACCGTACGCCGTCGCGGTGGATCCCCTATTTCCCGCCAAGTTGGGAGTGGAGACGCTTTCTGTAGGTGGACAATGAGTATGGAAAGAGCCACCGGCGCCGAATGAACAGACTCGTTGAAGCTTTGGAAGTGGAGGAAGAGGAGGACGATTTTCCGGAGGAGCCCGAGGACGAGGACGATGATCCTGAACCGGACTTACTCGTTGATCCCCCGGACGAGCTACTCGAGCCCGACGTGCCGCCGCTCTTAGCACCGCCTCCTCCTCCACTCTTTCCGCCTCCTCCGCCTCCTCGTCGCCGTTCCAACGGTTCGCGTTTTGTCAAAAAAGGGATACGCATAAGATAGGGTGCGTTGCACAGGGGATTTTAGAGGATGATGGTGGGGATGAGCAGGTTGCGAAGCTCGGGAACAATGAACTGTGAGATCAGTTGCTTTCGTGTGGCACAATTCGCACGGGGCAATGAGACCGTGAAGTGGCCGACGTAAGAGGAAATGCGACGCGCATCATTCTTGCTTTCCGTTATATACGCCTCCCATGCCGATGCAGTGCAGTGGGTCGTTCCTCTTGAGCGCGCCCTCGTGCTCTCGGCGGTCATGAGCAAAGATGGTGGAGGCGGTGGAGCGTATCTGAACTTCAGAGAGCCTCATGATCATGGCGGCTAAGAAAATTCTAATGGAACACTCAAGCCACAAACCTGTGCAGGCTGGGACCGAGCCTGTGAGCGTG